AGAATTTTTCCATCTGTATTCATGAGAGTTACTGGTCTGTAATTTTCTTTTTTTGTGATGTCTTTGCCTGGTTTTGGTATCAGGGTTATGCTGGCTTCACAGAATGAATTCAAAAGTATTCCTTCCTTTACTATGTCCTGAAATAGTTTAAGCAGTACTGGTGCAAGCTCTTCTTTGAATGTTTGGTAGAATTCTCCAGTGAAGCCAACTGGGCCAGAGTAAACACTTATTTCTTAAGTTATACTCCTGTTTGAAACAGTATAAAAAGATTGGGGGACAAACCCTTACAGCAAAACTTGGGAAAGGGCTCAGAGAAAGAACTATTATCATGGCCAATTTTGGTAATAATTGGAATGAAATAGTTTAGAATTAATCATGGCTCTACAATGATTACTTTTGGCAGAAAGTAAACATACTTTAACAATTTAAATTTACAATTCAACAAATTTATAAATAATTTCATAATGTTAAGACTCACTAATCTTTACATGTGAATTTCTTCAATAATTCATTTTAATCATGAGAGTGATATATTTTAAACATGTTTATATTTTTAAACTAAAGTTTAAAGGAAATATTTCTGAATATAATTTGAATACAGGGATGGAAATGACAGTTTGGCCACTTTCAAAGTCCCTACAAAAATTTGTCTAATTCTTAATATTGAAGTTGAGCAAAATATTCTTGGATCCTAAAATAATTGGGTACTCTTTATTTTAAATGCTAATGTTACTGATAACTTTTTGTAGCAGAGACTAAAAATTTTCATGTGAAAGACAAATATGGTTGATTTCATAAGATTTCTGAATGTTTTGATGTCTAAATAGATTGAGAAAAGGGGCTAAATAGTTACATAGAAACAAAAAAGTTAAGGGTTTAAAAAATACCACACTTATAGTCTCTTAGAGTTCTTAAAGTTTTCTCATTGATAGTTTCAAAAGTAACAGATAAAGATGATAACCATAATAGCGTAAGGTGTTTAATATTATTGTCAGTTAAAGCTAAAAGGCCCAGTGACTATCAGGGCAATTAATATAAATCTAATTGTGAAAGAAGAAGAAAAAGAAAGAAAGAAAATATTAGCAAAAAAAAAAAAGGAATAACAAAAACCAATTGGTATAAAGTTACTGAAAATTCCAGAGGGTCTCATTATCATTTGACATAAATTCTCAATTACAGGCTAATTGACAAAGAACTGCTAAAATGGGCAATTTGTCTCCATTTGGAAATAAAATTTGGATTCAGTGGGAAGGGGAGAAAAAATAAGGGTTTAAAGTTTTTTCAGTGTTTGTATGTTAGGATATGTGTGTGTGTGTATGTGTGCACGCATGCTTGTGTGCACCTATAAAATAATTATATTGTACAAATTATTTAGTGATTTGAAGGAGAGCTTTGATATTTGATTGCATTAATTACTTTGTAGAAGTTGAAGCATGTAGTAGAGGTGGGATTGGATCAAGAGTTGTCTTGGATTTTCACGATGTAACTGTTATGTCTCAGGGTTCCAATTTCTTTATCCAAAAGGAAGGGTTTGGACCTAGATGATTTTCAAGGTTTTTAGGGAGCACAGATTCTATGGTTATTCCACTACTTAGTTGTACTCCCTATTTCTTAACAAAGTCCTTGACTCTATTTCCATGGCAAATGTAATGAGAAGCCATTAAAAATGAAACTGCTGCTTTGGGGTTGCAAGCATGTGGTTCAACCGTGCATGGAAGCAATGATGTTCCAAGATCATCAGGTTTTGGAGGACTCAGGCATTTCTCTATCCAAAGACTAACAAGGCTGGAATAGTCTAGAAAGTCCTCTAAGGTTTGTTGTGTCTGGTATGTTACCAGGCCTGCTTACAACCTCTCTAATAATCTTTTTTGTTTGTTTTTTTGAGGCCACTATATATATACATATATGTATATATGTATATATACACACACACACATACATATATATGTATATTTTAATTTTTTGGGGGGAGGACCTGAAACACAAGCATTTTCCGTACACTAAAATAAAATGTGTTGCACATTTTATGTGTTGGCCTTGGTCCAAATTAAATAATCTGGTAAAGTCATTAAAGGAATTTAAGACTTTAAGTACTGTTCCTCATTGTTCCTCCTCTCTGGGTAAGCTTTACCATCCAACAGATCTTGTTTTTAAAAGAGTTTATTAGGGTATAAATACTGTTGGTTAATTTATACCTTTGTGGCTGCAATTTTGTCCAATGTTCTACTTTCCCTGCATATCCCAACTTCTTCCTAGCTCTTGAATCTTGAATGAATATTTGGTCATTAGTCAGTTATTCCTTTCTTTCTTGGTCTTAGAATGCTCCTCAGAGACAAACCCAGGAGCATAATAAGGACATTTTGTCTTTAAGCTCATGTGTTTTATCTTTTGTGTGTTACAATTTACGGAAAACACAGGATTGGAATTAAAACATGGAAAATAATTCCCCCTCAATAGTGATGATTTCTTGTTCATAGACCCACAAATAGACTTGATGAGAAACAGAATTATTCTTATCAACTTATAAATTACAGTTTAACATTTTAGCAATTATCTGTACCTGAATACACTTCACTTACGTCTTTCAAGTCATAATGGTATAATTGATGATAAACCATTGTAACCAGAATGGATGGGCTGTGTGTAGAATTAATTTCATTTTATCTTAACTGCATTCTAACATACTTTTTTTGTTTGTTTGTTTTCTGCAGCTATCTGGTCTTCTGATCCTGGGAGTAGCAATATGGGTACGAGTAAACCAAGGTAATCAAGAGGTAAATATGCAAATAAGTAAAAGCCTCCCAGCCCCAAAGTAGTTTTTTCATTTTGCAGCCATGAAAGCAATAGTAATAATACAAAACATTTCAATAACATTTTCCTTACCTGCCTCATGTAATTATTTGTACTGATATGTGATTTCATAATTAAATTTAATTCATCTAAATTACTTCCTACGTGCCTGGCACTGCGCTAGCCATGGAAAAATCTTTCTGGAGATTGGATAAGACACTATCCCTAAAATAGGAGATTTCAATGAAAGTGGAAGTGTAAGGAGCTACAATGGAAATTTGCCTCCTTCACTATTTGCTTAAGGCCAGCCTCAAGTACAGTTTGAAGAAATGGACCATCTCTCCTTTCCTCAAAAAAAGCAATTTTTATAGTATAACAAGGTATTGATAATAATTTGGTTGATTCTAAGGTGGGATGATGCAAAAGGAAAGAAGAGAACAGTAAGAAGTTCTCCTGGAGAAGAATTTGAATCTGTGTTTTAAAGACAAAGTACAAGATAGTTGGCATTGAGGGTGGCCACTTATGACAAGTAACATGCTAGTGTAACTCAGAAGTCAGGGAGGAATGTCTAGCCTTTTGCTGTCTAGATAAGATTATCATGTCCCCCTCCCCGCCCCTGCCCCATTTAATGCCCAGTTTAAGGTTAGTTCATATGGTTAATTCTAGCTCAAGACTTTGGATTCTACATATGCTGTTTCTGTTCCATACCACTGTATCACAAATATGGAAAGAATGAGGTGGGGGTGGGGTGGAAAGGAGGGTGTGGGAGGATGGTTCTGTCAGTTTCACCTCACATAGTGCTTTTCTGTCTTCCTTGCTTCTATTCTTTCTCTCCCCTTTTCCTCTAAGGAGCACTCCCCCCACCCCAATTGTTATTCCAACCTCATGCAGAGTAGCTTACTCATTCTTCTTTGTTGTCTGGGTTCTTGCCACTATTCAGAATTATATCTTTTACCACTGGAGCTTTTTCAAGGTAATTGCCCAAATAAAGAGAGTTTCCCTCCCTAAGAGGAATTTTGATGCCAGCTACTGTGATAATGCATTTTCCATTAAAGCTTATACCCTAGTGCAACTAAATGTCTTTGGACATAGCCCCGTTGAAAGAACCATTAAAAGCAAATTAACATCTGTTCTGATTCCTTAGCTAAAATGGGTGGCTTTTCTGGAAGCTTCTTCCTCCATCCCTCCCTTCATTCTTTCTTTATTACTTTTCTTCCTTCCTTTCTTCCTTCTCTCTTATGCTTTCTACCCCTAGAGAACCCAGAGAATCACAGTGACAGTTAGCTGCTTCCTCATTCTGTGCCTAACTATCAGGAGAAAATTAGGTGGGGGATGGATGGGACAACTAGCTGGCAACCTTCTGGTCTACCAGAATTTCATCTATTGTTTTATACCAGTAAACGTAACTATGACTTCCTGATGGTCTTGGGCTCTGGGGTTTGAGTCCGAGAAGGGTATTCAAGGGTGTGCAGAATCTCTGTCATCTAGAATCTGATATCTGGGCCTTATAATTGAGCACAGAGATTAGCTCTCACCTACATAGAGGGTACTTTGGCCTTTTCAAGATGTGTGTGCCGCTTGAATTTTATTTTATTTCTGGTTGATATGGGAACATTTTCTTTCCCTCCAGTGCTTCTGGTAAACAAACTTGGTGTTTAGTCTGTTAAGAAATTATACACATTGAATGTATTAAAGAAGAACCGTTGTCCCTGAGAGGGTGTTACTCAACATCTGGGGATAAGAATGAATTAATAAAGCTAGATGGCATCTTTAGTTACATTTTGACTCTTGTGCTCTGTTAGCCTCCCACCCTGAACAAAAGTCCATATATTTGCCAGGACATTAACCAATTTGACTTATGTGAAATTGATTTGATTTTAATTTACCTGAAGTCAGTGACAAAGTCAGGACTGTGCAAAGAACTGAATTTTACTAGTAGAAAAACAGAGATAGCAGTTGAAGAAGGACAAAGATAGGCATAAACACAGAAAAGAAAGACATAGGGGAGATGACATCTTTCCCTACTAAAGTGTCTTGTGGGGACACTCTGTTCTCTCTCAGGATAAACTCAGCACCATGAGGCAAAGCATATGGGCAGCCGCCCTTGTCCCAGGAGATCATTTATAATCCAAAGAGGATCCGTGATCCCTTCTTCTTTATGCCCAGCCATTCTCCTTCTTTAGAAATTCTTCCCTTGTCCTAAGACACACACAGACACATCGTTCACCCAAGACAGCTTTTAAAATCCAGCTGTCCCACTGCTGGAGCAAACATCTGAACTCAAACTTCCACTTAATTCCTGAATAAGAATAGCCACTTGTTGGGCTCAAATTGGAACAGTGACTTCCAGGCAGTCCACACAGTGCTTTCTGGCCAGTAGGATCACCCTACCCAGACCTAAACCAAAAAAACTGTTGCCCTCAAGTTGATTCTGACTCATAGCAACCCTATAGGACAGAGTAGAACTGTCCCATAGGGTTTCCAAGGAGCAGCTGGTGAATTTGAACTGCCGACCTTTCGGTTAGCAGGTGAGCTCTTTACCACTGTGCCACTAGGGCTCCCCTACCCAGACTAGTCTCACAGAAGTGCCTTACTACCTACTTCCCAGAGCTGGCCACACTATCTAGGCCTCAATTGTACATATTTGGCCTAGTATTTCTGTATCTAGGTTAGCTCACCTCAGTTCTGATGACTCAGCCTGTGAGGTTCTCAGACGTCAAAGGGTCTGCTCATACTGGCCACAATATTCTAGTGACACTCTATTTGATGCTGAGTTCACAGATCTGGTTTTCTAATGCTGCTTTTTTGTCAACATCTTTTTTGACAGAGGCTATAAGGCGCTATGATTTGGACTCAACTAGATGGCAATTTTTTTTTTTCTTTTTGTGGGGGGGGTTGGTCATGCCTGTTCATTAACAAAACTGATTTTCTATCTCTAATCTTAACAAACAAGCAAACAACAACAACAAAAACAAACAATCCTTCCCCCAAAAACAAACAAAAAAATCTTTAAGACATAACAAAACTTTCTAAACATGTAAAATGAAATATTATCTGTAAGCATAGACTTTTAGAGACAACGAAGACCTGAGATATCACAGAAGATGACCCAATTCCCTGTTATAAATGGGAAACAGGGACCCAGCAGGGTTAGTTGACTGTCCCAGGATTACCAACTTAGTTATATATCAGAACCTTGACTGGAATATAGATCTCCATTTTAATGCTTTTACAATTTCAGTACATTGCTTCCTACTGATTGTTGAATAAAGGTTTCATCTAGATTATCAGATGATTTCCAAAGTCCTTAAAAACAAAAAGATACTTAATAACAGTAGCAGTCATTTTGTATTGACTTTAAGGGGGCTGACCTGTATGCTATACCACAGATTCTAGGAGGCAGAATCTCTGAGTTAGTCTAGGAACTAGTGTTCTGCCTAAAAATAGCCCAGTAGATAGAGGGTATACAAGGCAGATGGGCTATGCGTGTCATTCACATGTAACAGGGTTTCACTTTTTAATTGTGGTTTACTTGTGGACATATATAGAGGATAAGTGGTAGACTGGGGCAAGGTGCTGTGAGGGTGATGAAGTGTGTGGAGAGGGTGAAGAAGAACTGAATTATGCAGAATGTGTAACCCACCATGTTATAAAGGGCTTGAGGATTTTCATTATCTCTGTCTTAGTCATCTAGTGCTGCTATAACAGAAATACCACAAGTGGATGGCTTTAACAAATTTATTCTCTCATGGTCTAGTAGCCTACAAGTCTAAATTCAGGACACCAGCTCCAGGGGAAGGCTTTCTCTCTCTGTCAGCTCTGGGGGAAGGTCCTTGTCATCAGTCTTCCCTTGGCCTAGGAGCTTCTCTGCACAGGAACCCTGGGTCCAACATGCTCTGCTCCTGGTGCTCCTTTCTTGGTGGTATAATGTCCTCATGTCTCTCTGCTCACTTCCCTCTTTTATATCTCAAAAGAGATTGTCTTAAGACACAATCTAATCTTGTAGATCTCATCAACATAACTGCTGCTAACCCATCTCATCAACATCATAGTGATAGGATTCACAACACTTGGGAGAATCACATCAGATGACAAAATGGTGGACAATCACACAATACTGGGAATCATAGCCCAGCCAAACTGACACACATATTTTTGGGGACATAATTCAGTCCATGACAATCTCATTCCTTAACATTTTAGTCAAAATAAAAAAGCTTCCAGAAGACTCTGTGAACTATATTTTCCAGGAATGAGGAAGTAGAATTGATATGGAATATTAGGAACTGGACTTATTTTTTTTTCTTGGTTAGAATTTCTTTTGTTTGTTTTGACAAATAAACAGACCTGTGTGGTCACCATCACGGTCAAGATATAAAGCATTTTCATCAACCCATAAAGTTGCTTCTTCTCCCTTTCCAGTCAGTTCCTGCTTTCCTGCCTGTTGTTGTTGTTAAGTCAAGCACTACTCTGATTTTTATTACCATACATTAGTTTTGCCTATTTTTAAACTTTATATAGTATTGTCATATAATATTTACTGTTTTGTGTCTGGTTTCTTTAGCTCAACATAATGTTTTGAGATTCATTCATGTTGTCATGTTTATCAGGAGGAACTTGGACTTTTAATTGAAAGAATGAAATTACCATAAAAACACATGTTTTATAATGCTACTCTTACATATAAAACAAAGGCCTCTCGCTGGACTAACCCAAAGATGGGCAGTTCAGACCTACACAGAGGCACCTTAGAAGTAAGGCCTAGCAATCTGCTTTCCCTATGGAATGCAGTTCTACTCTGCATACTTGGGGTTACCATGAGTAAGAATCAACTAGACAGCAGCTAACAACACAACAACATACAAAAAATACAAAATATGTGAACTAAAGATCATACCAACAAGAGTAAAAGTAACTGTCCTTCTAAGATTTTAAAATAACCAATGTTTTAAAAGCCCATTGCATTTCTTCCATCCAACTTTCAACATATGATTTTAGAAAAATATAGGTTTGGAAACAGTATTCAGGCAAATAACACCTCAATAGAATGTAAGCTTCATGAAGGCAAGAATTTTTGCTTGTTTAGATCACTGATGTATCTCAAGGTCTAGAATAGGGTTTGGCACATAGTAGGTACTCAACGAACATTAGTTGAATGAGCAAAATAAACTTCAAGGAAAGGGATTTCTTGTCATTAATCTTTTTTTCTTTTCAGATTTTCGGCCATGAAGATTCTCACGCTCAATTCCGTGTTTCTGCAAATATCATGATTTCTGTGGGTGCCATCATCATGATTCTGGGTTTCCTGGGATGCTGTGGTGCCATAAAAGAAAGCCGCTGCATGCTCATTCTGGTGAGTTCTGCAGAGAAATCGTAATACTCAACCTTTCGATTTTTGAGGCTTCTCTCCGATCCTTACTGTCTGTCAAAAGAACATGCCAAGATTGAGGAAACACTTAACTCTAACTATTGTTAGAGGGTTTGATTATGGAAGTTAATATATTTGGCTCAGAATAGAGGGTACTTTGAGAGAAGATGGATTTTACTCATTTATTCATTCAGCATTACTGAGTATCTGCTATGTGCCAGATTCTGTGATAAGTGATTCATAAGACCTTAAGACAGTTAGAATCCACTAGGGAAGATTGAAAAGAGCCCTGGTGCACAACGGTTAAGCACTTGGCTGCTTACTGAAAGGTTGGTGGTTCAAACCCATGCAGTAACTCTATGGGAAAAAGACCTGGCAATCTACTCCTGTAAAGATTACTACCTAGAAAACCCTGTGGGGGAGTTCTACTTTGTCACATGGGGTCCATATGAGTTGAAAATTGACTCAACAGTACAAAAACAAGGTGTTTGTATGTGTGAGGTCCTGATAAGCTCTCCAGGAAGATTGTCTATCAGTACAGGCATGCCTCTTTTTATTGCACTGTGCAGATATTGCGTTTTTTACAAATTTTGAAGGTTTATGACAACCCTACACTGACAAAGTCTACTGGCACCATTTTTCCAACAGCGTATGTTCACTTCATGTCTCTGTATCACGTTTTGGTAATTCTCACAATACTCCAAATTTTTCATGATTATTATATCTGTTATGGTGATCTGTGATCAGTGATCTTTGGTGTTACTATTGTAATTGTTTTGGGAGCCATGAACTGTGCTCATGTAAGATGGCAGACTTAATAAATATTGGGTATGTCTGACTGCTGCACCAACTGGCTGTTCCATTGTGTCTCTCCCTCTCCTTGGGCCTCCCTATTCCCTGAGACACGACAATATTGAAATTAGGCCAGTTAATAACCTCACAATGACCTCTCAGTGCTCAAGTGAAAGGAGGAGTCACACATCTCACTTTAAGTCAAAAGCTAGAAATGATTAAACTTAGTGAGGAAAGCATGTCGATAGCCGAGATAGGCTGAAATCTAGGCCTCTTGTGCCCAACAGTTAGCCAAGTTGTGAATGCAAAGGAAAAGTTCTTGAAGGAAATTAAAAGTGCTGCTCCAATGAACACATGAATGATAAGAAAGCAAAACAGCCTTATTGCTGATATGGAGAAAGTTTTAGTGGTCTGGATAGGAGCTCAAACCAGCCACAACATTCCCTTAAGCCAAAGCCTAATCCAAAGCAAGGCCCTAACTCTTTTCAATTCTATGAGGACTGAGAGAGGTAAGGAAGCTGCAAAGGAAAAGTTTGAAGCTAGTAGAGGTTGGTTCATGAGGTTTAAGGAAAGAAACTGTCTGCATAACATAAAAGTGCAAGATGAAGCAGCAAGTTCTGACATAAAAGCTACAGCAAGTTATCCAGAAGATCTAGCTAAGATAACTGGTGAAGACAACTACACTAAACAATAGATTTTCAATGTAGACAAAACAGCCTTATATTGGAAGAAGATGCCATCTAGGACTTTTATAGCTAGAGAGGAGAAGTCAATGCCTGGCCTAAAAGCTTCAAAGGACAGGCTGACTCTCTTGTTAGGGGCTAATGCAGCTGGTGACTTTAAGTTGAAGCCAGTGCTTATTTACCATTCCAAAAATCCTAGGCCGCTTAAGAATTATAGTAAATCTACTCTGCCTGTGCTGTATAAATGGAACAACAAAGTCTGAATGACAGCACATCTGTTTATAACATGGTTTACTGAATATTTAAAGTCCAATGTTGAGAACTACTGCTCAGAAAAAAAGATTCCTTTCAAAATATTACTGCTCTTTGACAATGCACTTGGTAACCTAAGAGCTCTGATGTAGGTGTACAAGGAAATTAATGTTGTTTTCATGCCTGCTAACACACCAAGTATTCTGCAGCCCATGGATCAGGAGTTATTTTGACTTTCAAGTCTTATTATTTAAGAAATACATTTCATAAGAGTATAGCTGCCATTGATAGTGATTCCTCTGATGGATGTGGGCAAAGTAAATTGAAAACCTTCTGGAAAGGATTCACCATTCTAGATACCATTAAGAACATTTGTGATTCATGGGAGGAGGTCAAAATATCAACATTAACGGGAGTTTGGAAGAAGTTGATTCCAACCCTCATGGACGACTTTGAGAGGTTCAAGACTTTAGTGGAAAAAGGAACTGTAGATGAGGTGGAAATAGCAAGAGAACTGGAATTAGAAGTACAGCCTGAAGATGTGACTGAATTGCTGCAATCTCATGATAAAACTTTAACGGATGAGGAGTTGCTTCTTATGGATGAGCAAAGACAGTGGTTTCTTGAGATGGAGTCTACTCCTGGTGAAGATGCTGTAAAAATTGCTGAAACGACAACAAAGGATTTAGAATATTACATAAATGTAGTTGATAAAGCAGTGGCAGGGTTTGAGAGGACTGACTCCAATTTTGGAAGAAGTTCTTCTTTGGGTAAAATGCTGTCAAATGGCATTGCATGCTACAGAGAAATCTTTCATGAAAAAAGAGTCAATCAATGAGGCAAACTGCGTTGTTGTCTTATTTTAAGAAAGTGCCACAGTCACTCCAATCTTCAGCAACCACCACCCTGATCAGTCAGCAGACATCAAGACTTTCCACCAGCGAAAAGATTAAGACTTGCCGAAGGCTCAGATGGTGGTTAGCATTTTTTAGCAATAAAGTATTTTTTTAACTAAGGCATGTACATTGTTTTTTTAGACATAATGCTACTGCACACTTAATAGACTACAGCATAGTATAAACATAACTTTTATACGCACTGGGAAATCAAAAAAGCTGTGTGACTGGCTTTATTGCAGTGGTCTGGAACCGAACCCGCAATATCTCTGAGGTATGCTTATACAGTGTTGGCATGCTTGGGCAACTGCAAGGTCTTGGGTATGGCTGGAGAGTGCCAGAGACTATTTTCCAGTGTATGATGGGAGATGAGTCTGAGTGTGGACCAGGGTCAATTCATAAAGTGTATATGTGCAATGCTAAGAAAATTGTAAGGGAGGGAGATAATCAGATTTGTCACTTAGCTTTATGGAGGATGGAGTGGGTTAGGATAATCCACAGGTATCACTTTTAACATATACAGTAGAAAATGATAAATGGATATAGTAAGAACTTCAGAAAAACGTCATGTACTTACTAGATATAAATCTTACACAAGATTTTGTTAGAGCTAATCTAAAATAGTTTCTCTAATAAAATAAGTATTAATAGTTTATTATGAGGAAAAGTAGAAACAGTTTTACTGGACTCTAATAGTATCCCTAGTGGTTGTTTTTTATGAATATTATTATTAAGAAAGCCTCAATTTCAATTTGGGGAATTTAATTACTTGGAGAGGTTGTTTCAAAAAAATGTGTGGGCTGCATCTTCCAAAATTATGATTTGGTAGATCTGAGGTAGGTTCCAGGAACCTACATTTATAACAAGACCCCAGGTGATTATGATGGTGGTTGAAATACTATTTTGGAGCTGGTTCTGAGTTTGTGTGTGCTTATGTTTGATCAAGAGGGGGAGGGAGAAAAATAATATTCAAATAATTTCATCTAATTCTTCAAACTTTCCCCTATTCGATGTATACAATGCTGATAGTGCTATCAATAAAATTTTGTTTTAACCACTTTCCTTAATCAGTCTTTGGACAAATGTTTCTGAGTAGTAATGACCCCAAATCTTTAGCTTAAGGAAAAAGGTGGAAAACATGAAGAGCATGCGTAATACTACAACTGTGATGTGACCATGGCTGCAGAGAGAGAGAGAGACAGATAACCATGCTGAAATGTCCCAGGATGTTACTGAATGCACTGGAAATAACCTATATTCCATTTTTTTCTTAGTTTTTCATAGGATTGCTTCTTATCCTGCTCCTGCAGGTGGCAGCCGGTATCATAGGAGTTGTTTTCAAACCTGAGGTGTGTACCATATGATGTTTAATAATTTTGGAGAATTCTGAAAAATTGAAATACTACCTTCTGGCACGAGTAATCTAAAAACAAATTTTAATTCTCAGTATAAACGCATTCTGAATGAGACACTCCATGAAGAAGCAAAGCTTTTGAATGAAACAAATGATGCAGCAGTGAAATTCCAGAAAGCCATAGCTGAATTTGAAGAAGAGGTAATTAAAATATGTAGGTCATTGGGGAAGTTGGGCATAGTTTCTCTGTGCATATTTTTTAAAGATTAAAAACTGTCTCTATTTTGCAGATTTGAGTGATTGTTGTGTCACCATGGAATTAAAAAAATCTAACAATAATTGTAATATTTTTCTAACTTGGTATGAATTCTGAAGTACTTTAAAAGGACAATGATTTAGAAAGATATGTTTATGGGATTAAGATTAAGCCTTGATAGGGTCAAATCAAGAATTATTTTAATATTTTCTATTTAGTAGTGTATATTTTCTGCTCCTCCCTCATACAAACAATTACAGCTAAAATTTATTGCCACTTACTTTGTTCCAGGCTTTATATGCATAGCTTATTTATTCCTCACAACAACCCTATGAGATGGATAATATTATTACCAGTATTTTACAGATGGGAGTCCCTGGGTGGTGCAAATGGTTAATGTTCTTGGCTGCTAATTCAAAGGTTAGAAGTTCAAGCCCACCCAGAGATACCTTAGAAGAAAGGCCTGGTGATTTCTTCTGAAAAGAGTATAGCCTAAAAAACTCTATGTGGCAGTTCTTCTCTATCGTATGGTGTCGCTATGAGTCGGAATGCACTGAACGGTAGCGAACAACGACGATTTATTTTTTAACCAGTACACTAAGAAAGACTCTTTCAGGAAGCCTGGGAATTCTTTTCAAGAGCTAAATTGCAACTGTCATCATGCTATCCTCTTCTTAAACTACCTCTCCTTTATTTATTTATTTTGCTTCTTCATTGTCTTTAGGATATACTCGAAACTTAGGCAAGCATTGAAGGTATTCTACTATTTGGCTCCTACCCAATCATTTAACTTTACTAAACACTACTCCATAATGAAAACATTTCAGTCTAGCCAGGTTTATCTACTCAGGGTCTCTTGAACAATTCTGCCTTCTTGCCTTTGGTCCCATTCTTACATAGAAATCCTTTATTTCTTCTTGGGTGTCCATTCTGAGTTTTGGTTTTTGTTTTTGTGTGTGTGTGTTTCTTATCCATGATGGCTTTTTGTTTTTAGTTATGCTTCTTTGGGAGAAAAGTACATCCTCATCCCTGGAATGTACTTAATACTGTTCTCTTTCTTTCTGAATACCACTTGTATTTTAAGACTTAATCAAAATATTACTTACTGTATGGAACTCCTCCTAACTACATCTTCTTTATTCAGAGTCCTTTCATATTAACTATGCATAGCAATCATTTCAGACATGTCATAGAAATTCTCAGATCCTAGAGGAGAGATGGATTTTGTAGATCATTTAATGCAACTTCCCATTGATTGAAGTATTTTGTATTTATGGTCATCCATACTGTAATTAAATATTGAAGAACTGAAAGCTTACTGATTTTTGCCCATCCCATTCAATTTATAAACAAACTTGATTATTATTGTGTTTTCTTAATTTGAAACAAAATCTGCCTCCCTAGAACTTACATCATTATTCCTTCTAGAGTTTCAGAAGAAAAGTAGATCTATTGATGCCTCTACACATGGAAACTTATCCTTTGAAAATGGCTGTTGTATGTCTTCTAGAAGCTTTGCTTTTCAAGTTTGAGTGTCCTTGATTTCTTGAGCTATTTGTCAGATGACAGTTTTCTCCCATAGCATTAACCAGTTCCTATTTGGATAGACTCCAACTTAGAAAATACTGTTTAAAGCATCATTTCTAAGAGTTAAAACCTGATATGGGTCAGTCCTTATTTAACTTCCTCTGCGTTGTGCTTTTCCTAGCTCTCCCATTGCTGTGTCCCTTCATTAATTATCTTCTCTCCAGAGTCATTCCCATTCTAGAGCCCAGACTTATCCAGGCTAAAGAATTTAGGCAACCTCAGTTCCTCCACTGTGTGGGGCTTGACCCTCCCTATTGAATTGACCTAGGAGAAAATGCACTAGAGGTAACCAGTGGACTTCTGGGCTAGGGCCTGAGTCTCACTTGCTGCACATCATCCCTGAGATTCAATGTCTCAGTGCCAACCATTGATTTCTTAATGTTGTACTCCCATTCTTATATAGAAATCCTGTGACTGAAGCTCCTTTTGTTCATAGGAGTATATTTCTTTTTTAGTGTCCATTCTGAGTTTTATGTCTCTCTCTGTGTGTGTGTGTGTGTGTGTGTGTGTGTGTGTGTGTGTTTATTATCCATGATGACTTTCTATTTTTAGTTATGCTTCTTTGAGAAAAGAATCTTGCCCCAAACCCTGGCTGGGTAACTTGGGGCCCCGGTACACATGGACAGAAATTGTAGATGCTAAGTGCGTTTCCCTTTGGTTTTCAGACAATTCCCTCTTGAATTTCCTTCTAACTTACTGATGGAATATGCCACTTTTGGATTCTTGGCGATGACTATTTGTATAGATATTATTGTATCATTCATTGCATGGTGCCTTGTTCATCCAGCTGTTATACCTCTGTTAATAAGTCCTAACCAACTTCTTCCTCAAATGCTTCCACCTCTGAACTAGTTGCCAGATATTATGCCAAATTGTAACCTTCCTACCTTCTACCCTGTCCTACTGCAAGTTGGCTTTATGCCTTCCTAATGAATTCTGAGGTATAGTGTATTCCAGTTATGCACTGACCTGTGAATGTATATAAACCAAATAGTGGGACTAATATTCCCTTTGTGTAAATTAATGCTATTCAGGATTATTTAATGTGAAAAAGTGAGCAATTAGTCATGTCTACCATAGGAACAGGAAAGGAGATTGCTTCAAGATTGCCCTCTTTGCTAATATTGACCTTGGAACCAACTGAAATCTCAATACTTTGTCATATGAAAGTCTGCTGAGTCATATATTTGTGCAATTAAGGTTTTGTGGCAAAATGCAAGACTCCCTATCTGCCTTAGTTCAACTTGTTAGCTTAAGTCCACTGTTTCACCATCCCTAAAACTCGAATTCTGTTCTCCAGGGTATTAATTATCTTTTCAATCGTCACATCAACTACAAAGTTGAAAAGATACTTTTCATATCTTTATCCAAATCACTGATAACAATGTTAAGCAGAACACATTCTCGTGAGAGCATAATGGAAACAACAACAACAACACAACAAAAACAATAGCAGCCAACATGTATTGAGGATTTTCTATGAGCCAGGCACTGGGCTAAACACTTCATATCTTTATGTGGATTTTCTCATTTTTATCTTTACAACAAATGTATGCATTAGATACTATTATTAGCAACTATTATTATCTGTATTTTACAGATGAAGAAACTGTGGCACAGACAGCTTTAAGTAACATGGGTAACATGGCCATCCAGCCAGTAAGTGAGAGTTCTTTCAATATCCTGGCATTGCGATGCATCTGTCTAGCTAGAGAACCATCCAGTCTCGGACTTGTTTATTTCAGCAATTTTTTCTACCATTTCTGCACAGCTTTTTCCCAGATAGAGTGGATAGAAGCAAGATGAGGGATGATTTTTTCTCTTTCATTCATCTAATAATATTGTGTACCATATGCCCTGGATCTTTGGGCTTACCACTTCCTTAAAGGAGCCCTAGGAGTGCAATGGTTAAGCTCTCAGCTACTAGCTGAAAGGTTGGCAGTTTGAACCTACTCAGTGGAGAAAGACCTGGTGGTATGCTACTGTGAAGATTACAGCCTAGAAAAACCCTTGGAGCAGGTTTATTCTGTCACATGGGATCTTGATGAGTTGAAATTGACTCAGTGTCACCTAACAGTAACAACAACAATCACTTCTTCTAAAACCCAATATTTGTTATTCTTCCTCCAAAAATGGCCACAAAGCTCCTTTCTCTTGTCCTTAGCAGTTCCCCATGTTTCAGTTTATTCTGGGTCTTAATCCTCCTGACACCTTTCTTAGAGCTTCATCCTTCATTTGTACCCCTCTTACATTCTCTCTCTCTCTCTCTCTATATATATATCTCCATGTGAAATTCAGTCTTATGGTCGGCCCCTTGAGCATCTTTTTTGGCCTTTGAGATGCCTCTAACCCTTTTATTCCTCTTCTCCAAGAATGATCAATGATCATGACATGGAAATTTCATTTTTAAAAATTTCCATCTCTTTTGAGCAACCTTCTTTTAAGAGACTTTGAATCTCTCATGAACTGTTTGGAATCTTCTTTGCAAAAATATAGGATACAAAGATCTGACTCTGTCCCTTTCTTTTGCTATTAAAAACTGGAAGGTGAATTCTTTATTTTTTTCCCAAGTTCCTATGTCTGTTGCATCTATAGCCTATTCTTCCTTCGTTAATATTAAGACCAAAATGGAAAATTCCTTCATTTTTTGATTCTACATTCAGAGAGGTGGGTGAGGTGAATTACATAATATTTAATAAAAGAAAAATCTTAATAATGGTTTCAGAATAATATAATTCAATATATTTATGATGCTTTTGGTTTTCTTTAGTGACCGCTTTTTATATCTGCTTTTCTCTTAACAGTTTAAATGCTGTGGCTTGATAAATGGAGCTGCTGATTGGGGAAATAATTTTGAGAAATATTACAAGTCATGTGAATGTCCAATTATGTCAAATTTATCCTGTACAACTTATGAAGGAAAATCTGTTTACAAACAGGTGAGAACTAAGTCAAATTAGGCAGTGAAAGTAATTCTTTCGCAATGAAAGTCTATACAAAAAATAAAATTGCAGCAATAATAATGGGAATCATGACATCAAAATCACTGGAATTCCTCAAACAAGAGAGAAATATTTATTTAAAGATATGAGCATATGCATATATGTATACTCATTCCTCACTTTTCAACATGGTTAGGTTCCAAAGACCAGGTCATTGTGTGAAAATCAGCGTTATGCAAAAATGGATCATGAACACATCAGATCACAAAATACTATGTGGGACACATATGTTGTCCCTCTGCACCCAATAAGCAGAAAATGTAAGTGGGTGCTGTATGTCCCACTGGTCATGAAAGGTTTACTGCCAAATGTAGGTCATTAATGAGCAAAATAGTTGGATGGTAGATTTTTTACTACTGTCATAAATGTGAAATGTCAGATAATGAGATAGTCGATAAGTGAGGAGTAGATGTATGTGTATATACATATATATATATACACGTATGTATGTATGTATATAAAGTATTTCATTTCTTCTGTGAGTTTGGCATCATTTATACCCAATCAATAGGTCAAAAAATATTCTACTGCCAAGAGGAGACAAGTACAAGTTAATAGATAAGAGTTTAATTTTCCCCTCTTTGAAGACCTTATTCAATATTTTCCTCATTATCGTAAGTTCTATGATAAATCAACATGTTTACTTTAATTTTCAAACATTAAGCTCTTTCGTCTAATTGAAGGTTTATTTCCTAACTAATTGTACAGGTCTAAAGAAAGGATTTGGCCTTTAAGAATTTAGACTCTTGATGTTAAGTGTATCTGCCAGTTTGCCTAGTTATTGCTCCAGTTGAGAGGTTGCCTCTGACATTTAAGTTAATTGAAAAAAGCTAAATTTACCTTTTCTGTGTTGTAGGTCTAGAATAAATTTATAAATATCATATTTCTTTTATTTATTATTGATTAATTCATCAAATATTTATTGATCACGTCCTATGTGCCTTCATCTGAAGCACTGGCGATCCATCCCGGAACAGGGCACACTGTCTGCCTTTATGGAGCTGACACTCAGATAGGGAAGAGGGAGGGATAATTGTTAGGCAACTTCAATCCAATGGGTGACTGGTACTGCTAAGACAGGGATCAGCACAAGGTACTATGGGAGGCCATCTAACTCAGCTTCCTAGAGGACATGACATATGTTCCTTACTGCAGGGCTTTATATAAGCTGTTCCTTTTACCTGGTAGGAATGCATACAAAAATGACAAGTGATATTAGTGTTTAATTCATTCATTGCCATTCTTGTGTCAGACAGAACCTTGCTAGAATCAGACATGCTTCTGGATCCTGGAGGAGATTATAGTCTAGGTGGAAGAGAGATACATAAAAGCTATTAATATTCACAATGAAGTAATTGCTGTAATACCTGAAAATTATTTTCAGTCTAGCATTTTTTGGTTTAATAATGGTTACTGAGGTTAATTTATAAAAGGAAACAGAAAGTATTTCAAAGGAAACTTCCTTCCTCCTGACTATTCACGTCTCTTTCACTAATCTTATAAAATTAGAAAGGCTCTGTTCTGAAAGGGAATTTCTGTCACTAATATTTAAAGTGACTCATGGGGGGGGGAGTTATGTATCAGACTATGATTTTACCATGCCTTTCATTGCCAAAGTAATAAAATTAAGAAATTTTTATTCTTTTTATGTTCCTTCCAGCTTCCCTCCTTCCTAATTTTAGTGACACAATATCCACAAAGAAGAGGGGAAATAAATGTAGTGTAATCCAATGTAGTTTCCAGTTAGGATAATGAGGAAGTTAGTAAATTCAATTGCAGATTGCTTCTGTAAAAGAATCAAATTAAATATGTTTTTATTCAAGATAGATTTTGAAAGCTCCTAGCATTATCCTGAAAAATAATAGATATTCCCTCTAAGTTTACACATAATTCTGCTGAATGTAGACTGATAGCTGTACCAGTTTCCCAAAAAGAAGGTCATAAATTCATAAAATATTTCCATCTCCCTTGTGTCATTTGCAAGAAGTCTGGAAAAATAAAAAATTCTGGAATGGCCATAATTCACATTTCGTTTTTTTTCCCTCTCTTTTGCCAACGTAACCTGGTTATCTGGAGGAAGGGGAGGGGAGAAAAACCCTCAAGTAGAATTAATGTTTCTCAGTAGATATTAACCTCATAGTTAATCCTAAATAATTGTCTCTAATAATTATTTAATTATTAAATAATCCTAGTAATTTTCTCTAATGTTTACTGCTTGGATCAGATATGAATGGAGAAACTCATTACATCCAGGAATGAAGGGGCAAAGACTGTTTAGTTCAGCTTTATGGAGAACTTTTTTTTTTATTTAGCAAATGATAATATTTTGTTAGCCTTTTGCACAAATGTGATTATCATAAGGATGATATATTTTTTGGCAACACAAACAATACCACTATTACATTGTGAAACATTTTTCCAGTTTTTAGTTTTCCTTATAATTTACAATTATTAGAATTTTTAGTTTGGTCTGAAATGTTTTAAGGTTGGAAGTGCATGCTGATTTGAATAAATTTCAAAAAATGTGACAGAGAGACAAATTTCTAAATTTTCTTGTCTAAGTAAGGACTTAACGGTGGACACGATGATTTTTTTCTTTTTAGGAAACATGTAACGCTGATAAATATTAAGAGATTTTTAAAATATTCTGTTTTAAAAATGGAGATTTACAATTTATTATCTAAAACCTCAATCTGGGAACTCGTTGCTTTGGGTTATAAATCTAAGAAATAAAAAGACGAGGCCATTTCAGCTCTAAAATGAATAATCTGACATAAGGATAAAATTATTATTTATAATTAAAGATCTGTAGATTCAGCAATTGAGTAGCGGAAGCAAAATGTTGCTCTTCAAATGATTTTTAATGTGTGAACAAACCACAATAGATAAAACTTTTTGGGAGAAGAGGGGTGTTAAAGGAACAATCCTATTCCTTTTTTTGAGTATGTTCCTTGGTAGCAATTTAGAAAGTCAATCAACTCAATAAAAATCTTAATTAAAATAAGGTCAATATTTTATTAAAAGTAACTTTTATTTATTTGTTTATTTTACAGACATGTGTTTCTCTAATAAAAGACTATTTTGGAAAATATATTATCATAGTTATTGGAATAGCATTTGGATTGGCATTTATTGAGGTACGGTGTAATCTTGCATTATTGACTCTCTTCATTCATTCTCTTGTGTGTTCATTGATTTTTATAACAAATATTTATAGTAAGCCAAATAAAAACCAGGTGCTTTTGAAAATCACTGGGATACCAAGTGCCCAAATCCCAGCATTTCTCTCAGTCAGCCTCGAGTCTGAGGAAGGGTTCACAGTTCTATCAGTTGAGTAGGCCCAAGGGTGTTATTTTTGAGTGATGTCTGTACTGGGAAAAATATAGAATTAATTTTAATTTCCACACAGTTATTATTACCAGATATTTTTTCCCCACTGAAAACCAGCACAAGAGTTAAATTTTCCTGAACTATAAGAAAAACCACCAAAAAAAGCAAAACACAAATTTGTAAATTTTTATCTCTCTTCCTGATTTTGAAACAGAAAATAAAAACTGAACTGGAAGTGAGGAGGTGCTTTTTTGCTAGCCCGTTCTAGTGAAGTCTAACAAGCTGTAAAAACTAGAGACAGGGCATCTAATTTTCTTAGCTTAAGGTCTGTGGGCTGATTGGGAGACATTTTCAAAGACATTCTGCTTGAGGTTAATTACTCTCATCAATTTGATTATTGAAAAAAAGATATCGTCTAGGTTTTTTATCTTATGGATTTTTTTGGTATGGCTTTTTTAGAACCTGAAGAGTCTTTTTTACATGGCCTAAAAATCTTTACCAAGGAAATGAAATAAAATTGCTTCAGAGAAGTGTTGTTGGAATCATCCTAGATCTTGGGCAATTCAGATATCAAAACCTGTTGCCATGTAGTCGATTCCAACTCACAGCGACCCTATAGGAGAACTGCTCCATAGGGTTTCCAAGGTGAGGCTGGTGGATTCGAACTGCCAATCTTTTGGTTAGCAGCCGAGCTCAACCACTGCACCACCAGGGCAGATATCAAATGGATTAAATTCACTCACAATCCCATTTCAGGGCATTGGCTACATGCTAATGTGCAATGTCTCCCTGTTATTGCCTTCCTTCTCACTGAATGCTGTGCAATGCTCACCTGGGACTTTCTGGTAGCTTACTACCCCTCACTTGTGCCACATCACTGCCAGAGAGGAATTTAGCTGGGATTGAAGCAATTTAGTGCTCTAAAAGGTCATTTAGGCTTCTTGTGGAATTTCCCAGCCAGCCATTAGAGAAAGGCGAATAGCAGCAAATTGGATTGTTGAATATTACTTTCTTGTAGCCCAGATGAATAGGTCTAGATATGAAACATCCTCTGTTAGTATGGTTGTTTTTCTTTAGGGCTGATATGTGATCAAAGTCAAATAATGCTATGCGTCAGGTCTGTTTCTCTTGACTCTGCCTTTTATAAAATGTCTTTTGCTTCTCTGCTTTGTGCTCTGGTTTATGCTAATTTAGAAATATGAGCTAATGATCATAAAGGTTAATAGGGTCACACTCATATATAATCGTACATTTATAAATGTAACAAACACAGGCATACGTTAATAGAGAATACTTAACAACGGAAGATTAAGAGAGCAGAATTTAAATGAAATTTTTAAGGTAAGTGTCAACATAAGTGTTGAATTGCGTATTATAAGAAAATTCAGAAAATTGACTATTCCCTGCTACAACCCATACACGCTTTTAAGACAGTTCTTAAAAGCAAAGCCAGAGAATGTCAGGACATAATCAACTGGGAAGACTGCTGTCTCTCATATCATAGCCAAAGGCATTGCCAAGAATCTAAATACATGTAGTGGAAGATAAGATTACAAGAGGAATAGTACATTTCACAGTTTTATGAAGTTGGTGTGCTCTGTTGCTATTTGTTGCATATTTAGGTATTTTACTGGTGTTTCTAAAGATGTGTATAGGGAAATACTTTCATAAAAACCTCCATACAGTAATTTATAAGTATGGAATTTATATGGTAATATTATAAAATGCAACCATTTTACAAGTTGTGCCAGTTAAATGTGGTTTCTAGACTATCTGTGGATGTTGTAAATAGTTGATTTAAAGAACTGTGGGAAATTTTAATTTCTGCTCTCCTTCTAGGATTTGAAAAAGAAAAAAAATTCTGTCCTTTTTTGTTCAAAAAGAAGCTTCAAAAATACTCTTCTGATATCCAAACTATAAAAATGTATCCAATAAAATACATTAGCCTGGCTTACAGTCATTAGACAGAGCCCTCGTGGAACAGTGATTAAGCACTTGGCTGCTAACCGAAATGTTGGCAGTTTGAACCCACCAGTGGTTCCACAGGAGAAAGATGTGGCAGTCTACTCCCATAAAGATTACAGCCTTGGAAACCCTTGTGGGGCAGTTCTAATCAGTCCTATAGGGTAGCTAGGAGTCAGAATCGACTTGACAGCACAACAATAGTCTACTTACCTAACATTTAGGCATGTTTCCGTCTTCTGCTTCCCAAGTTCAAGAAAATAAAAAGACACACAGACAGAAAAACACCTCTAATAAATATTTTTAAAAACAAAATAGAAGCATATATCTTCCTGCAGAAAATACACTCAGACTATCTGCACAAAAAAATAATCATATAAAAACAAACTCTCCAATGACGTTTAGGTCTTGAGTGTTAGTTTATTTAGGTCTTGAGTTCAGTTAGTCAGTTTGGACTAGGCTTGTTGGAGTGGGCTAGCATGTATTTTCAAGGCTCTGTTAAGACTCCGTTTGGAGCCCTGGTAGCACAGTGTTTAAGCATTTGGCTGCTAACCAAAAGGTTGGCAGTTTGAATCCAGCAGCTCCACCTTGGAAACCCTGTGGGGAAGTTCTACTCTGTCCTATAGGGTCGCTATTGTTGGAATCAACTTGACAGCAATAGGTTTGTTTTTTGGTGTTGTTGTTAAGACTGCATACCTGGGGGGTTCTTCTCAGATTAGATGCTCAGAATCTATGCAAGATGCTTTAGTTTATAAGAAAATTTTATCTACAGACATTTTCAGAAATCTCATTATTCTGAGTTAAGTAACTAGTCTATCGTATCTCCCCTTAATTGACTAGGGCAACTTACAAGCACAAAAAATGATCAGTACTTTCTCTCCTCACTTTAGTAAAATAAGCCATTGACACCGCTTGTCATCACTTTATAGGCTAAAGTGATCCTGACAGGAGGTCCCAAGAATAAAGCAGAGAGAAAAACTGTAACTTTTGGACTTTTTAAATGCTGCTTCAGAATGTGGGAACCTGTGCACACCATTTAGCATTATGAGTCTTAACATTACTATAAAATGGGTCTCTTAAGTATTTGCAATTTTTCTGAGCAATGATAATTGGTCTTTTCAGAAGCAGTGAAATGCAAGGAAATGTGATATTAAATGCTGACGAATGTGTGGCTTCTATTTCAGAATTGCAGAAATAGATAGTTGTCAGATCCCATTAATTTGCTCATTTTCTGTATTTTTTCTAATAATTGTACCCTAGGCTTAAGGTTTGGGATCAAGGCAAAAGAAAAATTTTCAGGCCTGACTTTTTAGAACATCTGAATGAAGATCATTACTTTTGCAGAGAATTGGTTTCTTTTCTTTTTTTTTAAGAAGGAATAACTACTGGGCATCAGTTCTTACTTGAAGTGAATTTCCAGGAAAGTATTAGTAAGCAGAAAGTCTTGATACAGTAGGAGCACTTGAGATGACTCTGCATAACTGGCACCTGCAGCAGGGGAAGGGGCAGATGGGGAAGGTCTTTTGATCTATAATGAACAGAGGTCCTTTCTGTCATTGCTACATCAAAGCCACAGCCTGCAAGTCACCAACTGCAGAGCCAAGTAGGGCAACTTTTGGGGTCTCTTATTCTTGGAATAGCTATTTAATGAGATGGAGATTATGCCCCAGATTTTCAGCTGTGCTTTTTCACTTCAAAGAAAATTCCTCAATTAGCTATTCCCCACAGACTTACAAGTTAAAAAAAAAAAAAAGCTTTTTCATTCTTCTTGGCAATCCCTGAAACTATGGCAAGGGAAGGTCTAGACTCCTTGAATTTTATGCAGATGTTATAAACTAAGTGTCTATAACCTTTTTAGGGAAGAAACAGGTATATTTAACCCCCAGAGTACTGAGTCCCTAGAGCTCTTGGGTAGATGCCCTACTGAAGGGTGTGTATATTTGAGAAGGGGGGTGCTCTGGTGGCAGCTGCTACTGCCACAATCAAATAGGGCCAGTTAGAGGCTGATTGGCCGGTTGAAAATCCTGATTAAAACTCACAAAAGGGAGGCAGAGTCAACATGGAGCCCTAGACAGACACATCATACTGTCCCTCTGTAGTAATGACATGAAAAACTAAGTAAACCAGTTATAAACATCAATCTTGGAAATCTGAGCATGAAATGAAGGGATAAAGAACTAGATCAAACACTGAATGGAAGAAGAAACTGATGGAAAACAACAAATGAAGAGAGATACAGAGTGGAGGTCCTCTACCAACTAACATGGCACAGTGTAGCCATCTTGAAACACCTGGACAGGGAGTATGGGAAGGCAACTTCACAGAGCTCTCAACAGAAAGCAGAGCACCTGATAAGCAGAGAAACACACTTTCCCACCCCTCACCCTTCTAGTAAGTAGAAGCAAGACCCCTCTATCCTGGCAGCCCCCACCACCACAATACAAACCCTCCCCCCAGGCCAGCCCCACCCCCTCCCACTGCACAGCTATTTTTTTCTTTCTTTCTTCCTCCCAGCTAGCTCCATATGCCACTTCCCATCCCTTCCCATGAATCCCTGAGTCTGCCCTGGCCCACTCGCCAGCCTATACAGTGCCACTATTTTTTTCTCCCTCCCACCTAGTCCCACATGCCACCTCTCCCCCTTCCCACCAGCTGTCACCATGTCATCATGGCTAGAGAGCCACTGGCCCACAGCCATCCCGGGTCACTCTGCTCCCACTCGCTGGCTCCTGCCACCACCATCTTTTTTCTTTCTTTTCTTTCTCCCTCCCACCTAGCCCCATATGTCACCTCCCTTCTCCAGTGGCCCCCTGGTTTGCCCAACTTCCACTCACTGGCCTCCATCTGGCCACCATTTTTTTTCTTTCTTCCTTTTTATTTCTCCTTCCCACCTCCCCATACACCACTCTCCTCCCTTTCCACTGGCCCCTGTGGTGTGAATGTGGTTAGAGAATACCAGCCCACCACCGCCCAGATCCACCCTGCCCTCACCCACCAGCTCCCACCAAACCACCATTTTTTTCTCCTTTTTTTAAAATTTCTTTTCCTTCTTCCTCCTGCTTAGCCCCATAAACCACCTCCCCTCCCTTCCTACTGGCACCTCAGTTTTCCCCACCCTCCCTCACCAATACCCACCATGCTGCCATTTTTTTCTCTTTTCCTTTCTTTTCTTTCTCCCTCCCACCTAGCACCATACACCACCTCCCTCCTTCCCATTGGCCCCCATAGCTCCACTGCAGATGAAGTGCCACTAGCTGCCCCAGGCCACCACTGCCCCAGGTCTGCTCTGCCCCTCACTGGCCGGCTCCTACCATGCTGCCCTTTTTTCTTTCTCTCTCTCTTTTCTTTTATTTATCCCTCCCACCTAGCCCTGGACATCACTTCCCCCTAATTCCCTTCAGCTCTCACTGTGCCACCGTGGCCAGAGTGCTCCTGGCAGTCAAGCCCTCCACCACTATGGGCCTGCACTGTCCCTCCCCTCATGCCACTCAACCAGCTGCTAAGCAGTGATAAGCAAGCCCATACCACTCCTAGTCTAACACCCACGCTTACCTGGTGAGGGGCTGTGAATACTCCCACACTATGGGACCAACAGGAGAAGGCAGAGAGTGCCAGACCAGTCTTCCCTCAGCCACCATGTCAAACCAGTGTACAGTGAAGCAGGCTCGCCCTGTCTGCTGCTGCCCTGCCCATCCAGATAAGGTGGTGAGAGCTATTGCACCCACAGATGAACAAGCAGCAAAGCATGCCAACCTGCCCTGACATATCAAAACAAAACAAAAAAGTAGGAGAAAACAAGCATTCAATCAATAAGTAAAGAAAATAATACCTTAATGTCTTGGAGAGAGCAGACAATATCAAAACATATAAAAAAGCAGGACAAGATGTCTCCAGCAAGTGACCAATATAAAGAATCAGATAACCTTTCAGTAGAAGAAAAGACATGGGAACTACCTGATATACAATTCAAAAGGCTAATATTTAGGGCTCTCCAAGAGATTAGGAAAGATGTCAAGGAAAACACAGACAAAATCTAGGAAAAAATAGACAAAATCATGTAAAACAAGGACAAAACCAATGAAAACATAGCCAAAATCAAGGAACAAAGACAAAGCAATAGAAGAATTGAGGAAAATAATACAAGAACAAAACATTAAAATAAATAATTAGAAATCATACAAAAACAGTAACTAGAAATCCAAAATATAAACAACAGAATTTTAGAAATGGACAACTCAATAGAATGTTTTAGGGGCAAATTTTAAATAATGGAAGACAGAATTATTGAGATTGAAGACAAATCTATGGACACCACTTTGAGGAAAAATCAGAGACAAGAATGAAGAAAAATGAGGAAAACCTAAGAATTATGTGGGACACAATCAAGAGCAACAATGTGCTTGTGATTGGAGTTCCAGAACTGGGGGGGAGGGGAATAGTTGAAAATTTACTGGCAGAAAACTTCTCAAATATCATGAAAAATAAAAAGCTGACAATCCAAGGGGCTCAACGAACCCCATACAGGATAGACCCCAAAAGAAAGTCACCAAGACATATCATGATCACACTTGCCAAAACCAAATACAAAGAAAGAATCCTGAGAGCAGCTTGGGAAAAAGGAAAAGTCACTTACAAACGGGAAGCAATAAGACTAAACTCTGATTACTCAGCAGAAACTATGCAGGCAAGAAGGCAATGGGACAACATATAGAAAACCTGGAAAGAAAAAAAAAAACTGTCAACTAAGAGTAATATATATTGCAAAACTCTCTCCCAAATATGACGGCAAAATTAGGATATTTCCAGGTAAACAGAAATTAAGAGAATTGGTAAAAAAACCAAACCAAATTTACAAGAAATATTAAAGGGAGTACTTCAATTAGAGAACCAACCACATCAGACAACAACTGGAGTCTAGAACACAGCACAGCATCAGCCAGATACCAATCTAAGTAAAGAACTCTCAATAATAAAGCAGAGCTAAGACTTAAAACAGGGAAACAGAGACATCAGTCTGTAAATGACAGCAATGTCAGAACAATAAAAGGGGGAATAAACAGTGTAGATATAGAACTTTCAAATGGAGATGAAGTCAAAGTAACATCAAGTAATAAAAGACTGGTCCAAACTTAGGAAGATAAGGGTAAATTTCAAGGTAACAACAAAGAAAATTAACAAACCTACTCATCAAGATTAAAAGGAAGAAAAATGTAAAGACTCAGTAAACATAAAATCTATAATAATAAAATAAATGAAAAGAAAATCCACAAATAAAAGGAACTCAGCACAGGAAAGTAAGAGGAACAAAAAAAATGTCAGCACGACAAAAACAAACAACCAACAATATGACAACAATAAACTTATACCTGTCGATAATCACACTGAATGTAAATGGCTTAAATGCACCCATAAAGAGACAGAGAGTGGCTTAATGGATAAAAAAAACACGACCCAAGAGACATATCTTAGACACAAAGACATAAATTTATTAAAAATCAAAGGCTGGAAAAAATATATCAAACAAATGGTAGCCATAAAAGGGCAGGCGTGGCAATACTAATCTCAGATAAAAATAGGCTTTAACTCAAAATCAACAATAAAAGACAAGGAAGGACCTGATATGATGATTAAGTGGACAATTCACCAAGAAAACATAAACTTGATAAATATCTATACACCCAACGGCAGGGCTCTTAAACATGTAAAAAAAACTTTAACAGCACTGAAAACAGAAATAGACAGTTCCACAGTAATATTAGAAGACTTTAACACACCACTCTCAGTAAAGGACAGATCATCTAGAAAGAAACAAAACAAAGTTGCAGAAGATCTAAAGGCCACAATCAAGAAACGTGATCTCATAGAAATGTATAGAACAAACTACCCAGCAGCAGCAAAGTATACATTCTTTTCCAATGCACGTGGAGCACTCTCCAGAATGGACCACATTTTAGGCCACAAAGCAATCTTCAATAAAATCTATAACATCGAAATATTATAAAGCATTCTTTCTGATCACAACACCACAAAAGCAGAAGCCAATAACAAGAAGAGCAAGGGGAAAAAAAAAAAATCCAATACTTGGAAACTAAATAACACCTTGCATAAAAACAACTGGGTAATAGAAGAAATCAAAGATGGAATCAAAAAATTCCTAGAATTAAATGAGAATGAAAACACATCACACCGAAACCTTTGGGACACAGAAAAAGCAACGGTAAGAGGTAAATTTATAGCAATAAATTCACACACAAAAAAGAACAGACCAAAACCAAAATGTTAGCCTTACAACTCAAACAAATGGAAAGAGAACAGCAAAAGAAGTCCACTGCCACCAGAAGAAAGGAAATAATAAAGATTAGATCAGAAATAAATGAAATACAGAATAGGAAAACAATAGAAAGAATTAACGAGACCAAAAGTTGGTTCTTTGAAAAGATCAACAAAATCAACAAACCACTGAAAAAACTGATAAAAGAAAAACAAGAAAGAAAGCAAATAACCCAAATAAGAACCCAAATAAGAAATAAGATGGGAGACCTTACAACAGACCCCACTGAAATAAAAAGGATCATAACAGAATACTATGAAAAATTATACTCCAATGAAGTTGAGAACTTATAGGAAATGGACAAATTTCCAGAAACATACTACCTACCTAAACTTACACAAACTGAGATAGAAAATCTGAACAGACCCATAACAAGAGAACTGGAGAATTCTACTAAACGTTCAGAGAAGCACTCACACCAGTGCTACTCAAACTATTTCAGAGTAAAGAAAAGGAAGGAATGCTCCTGAATTCATTCTATGAAGCTAGCATAACTCTGATACCAAAGCCAGGCAAAGACACCACAAAAAAAGAAAATTACAGACCAATATCTCTCTTGATTATGGATGCAAAAATTCTCAACAGAACTCTAGCCAATAGAATTCAACATCATATAAAAAAAAAATACAACGCAACCAAGTGGGATTTATATCAGGTATGCAAGGACAGTTCAACATTAGAAAATCAATCAGCATAATCCACCACATAAATAGAACAAAAGAAAAGAATCACATGATCATCTCAATCAATGCAGAATAGGCATTTGATACAGTCCAACACCCATTCCTGACAAATTTTCAATAAAATAGGAAGAGAAGGGGAATTCGTCAGCATAGTAAAGGGCATCTATACAAAACCAACAGTCAAAATCATTCTTAATGGAGACAGATTTAAAGCATTCCCCCTGAGGGGGGGAATGATACAAGGATGCCCTTGATCACCACTCTTGTTTAACATTTAGCTGGAAGTCCTAGCTAGAGCAGTAAGGCAAGAAAAATAAAGTGCATCCAGATTGGAAAGGAAGAAGTAAAACTATCCCTATTCACAGATAAT